TAAACATTTTTGTATTATCGAGATCGAAACTATAGTAAATTGGAAACCGTGTCAATAATAAAAAACGTACAATGAACTTATGAACATGCGAAAATTGTCACGCCCAAAATTTACACAAATTTTTAACAAAATAAAAATGTGTTAGTCAGGTTAATCGAGGTTAATCAGGTTAATCTTTTATACGAAATTACAAACCGGCAACAGCTCACGAACTGGCAATTAAGCGCGTGGCGTCCACACGTGACGCGTGAAAAACGGAAGTGTTAGCCGAGGTTTTTTAAACATAGTTTAGCGTGTTCTATAAAATCACCGCTATAATAAAATATTTCGAGTGTATTACATAACTACTTGAACAAACCCAGCAGTTGTTAAAAGAGTCTGATATTGATCCGAATAATTTATTACTTTTTTTAATTAGTTATATATATAACATAAATATGTATTTTTACATCTTTTATTTCCATTACTATATTAGTCGTTCGGTTTTTTTCGCTTACTATTTCCCGGAATTCTTGATTAAATACAGATTATATAAAATTAAAACTTGATTCTAATGAAATAACTTTAATCTTTATACTTTGCGATTCAGTAATATAGACTGCTGAGATATAAACCCTCTCGGCAGTCTGCAGTTAGGCTAAGTATACTTATAACCTAAGTACTTTTTACACATTTTCTTTGAGGTTTTGTACTCTTTATTGGTCTCTTAGGTAGATATTGATTAAATATATTTATTTTTTGTTTCTTGTTAATGTGTAATATAGAATCCCTTCAAACTCTTCCGTTAGAGTCCCGGTGAGAGAAAATGTGCTATATATATGAAATTCCCTGCGTCGTATATATCGTAATTACTTGAATATTCCAGTTTTTGCTATTAAAGAGGCCTAATACTAGATTCCCCTTGTTACGTTTTCGTAGCGCTTTGCATTGTGGTTATAGTGGTATCACTGATATTCAAGATATGGCTTATTTTTTGTCCTGACCCGTGCTGACTTTTAAAAGCTAGGGTCAGGTGCGCGATATAGCTAACAGCAAAATATTCGCGAAAACATTCAATACTTTCATTCGAGGCCGCTATCTTTATCAGTGATACCACTATGACCACAATGCAAAGCGCTACGAAAACGTAAGTAAGGGGAATCATCAATTGTACTCTTTGTGCATGCTTGGTCTTTTTTACTGAAGATATTGATTGAATAAATTTATTTACACATTCTTCTGCAAATAACATGATGCATGATCTTAATTGTTGGAAATAATGCAAAATAGCATAACTCTTTCTAATATTAGTTTTGTTCAGTTGATATACGCCTGAAAACTTAGTACTCAATTATGATTGGTTAAGAGCATGCAGTGTAATGTTAACCTTAATTGAGGTAATTCACTGCCAAAAACTTCAAATATATTATCACTCATGCATGCATGCATGCATGCTTTTTCCAAATTTTCGAAACCATACTATATCAGTTTTCCCATATATTCTAACTTGATGCATTTGGTATTCGTTGCCGAAAGTTAAAATGATTTATTATTGAATTATTCGGCAACGTACGATTGCCGGCCTAAAATGTCAAATTACAACTGATTCATCAACTGATGCAGCCAGCCAATGATGAAAATCGCTTTATTTGACAAATGGACTAGCTATAATGAAACCATTTTTTGGGCCGGTGAATGCAGTGGACCAGTAAAAAATCTCCAAGTTACACACAAATATCAATACATGGCAAAATCAGTTGGCATCGCCATCGTTGCTTTCATGCAGTCAAAGAATAACTACAATTCATACATTTTTAAATGCATGTTAGCATCCTTAGGCAGTCTATATTGACAACATAATACTATTCAGGGTTTCTATCTATCAGATCACATAAAAGTCTAAATTTAGAGCTAAATTATATAAAGAAATCGCGAATTTAGCCTCGATTTGTAAGATTCTGGCTTTGCACTTGTCTTACCAGACGAGACTTCAGACTGCAAGCATGAAAGTCATTGCGCGCGTGTTGCCATTTCTCTTGCGCCGGCGCAACGCGATCAAATCCGTTGCGTTGCCCGCGAGAAAAACCGAATAGCACGTGTAACCCTATAGTAATTCACTGACTATATTGAAAAAAGCTATTATCTGCGCCATTACTTAATAAGAACGTTTAAGAGTTTGCACTTGCAATATTTGCTGCGATATCAAGTGTAGCCTGCGTTGCCAGGCTCATATATCAGGTGCGACCACCTTTCTTCCGTTTGATGGATGTGAAAAGGTGGACATTGTCATTGATAATTCGTCTACTCGTTCACATGCATGCATCACAAGAATTGTGCAAGGGCCTTAGCCGTCACTAATTTTCGATCGTTCACCGCCGAATTTACTTGATAGTATGATTAGTATTAATTAAACAACAGCGTTTGTTTTTTGTTAACCTCGTCCCGCCGCTCAGTGGTACTGGTGTTAAATAGTCCAATGCATGTTCACAAGACTTCGGGCTGTTTTCCTCTGTTGGATAAACATTAACCGCATGTGGCTTGCATAGCAAGTGAATTATTTTCACAGATGCTGCGAGCTCAGTTGTTTCACCTTCACGAACTCATTGACTGAGGGGGAAATTATAATCGGAAAACACGCTTCGCTCAAGGAGCTAGTCGAACCTCAGTCACAGAGGTTAACCGTAAAGCAGATGCCCGCCTCAACTACTGTGCTATGCCAACATCCGACCCTACAATAATTATGTACTTAATTACAGTAAAATTACTTGGAGAAGGATGACCTTAATCTCTGAGTGACTGAGTCCTTTCGATAAGTAATATAGTAATGCCGGCGAACCCTAGATTACAAACACAATATATACAACTCAAACATCAGCGTTCAATATAGCAGTCGGTCATGAATCGGGGCGAACAAAACGCCAATATTTACAATTTGAACAGTCTGCACAAAGATCATATATATAGCCAATCATTTTGCCACATTAGTTTGCCGAATAATTTCTCCCTCAGTCTCAGCTCGCTCTCCTTCATTCAGCCTCAAAATAAAAAAATCAAAGCGCAACTCTTAGGCCTCTTACTCTGTTGCGCATGCAAAGGAAGTTATCACTTATAGTTAGAATATATTATTCAAACCATTATTTGTCAACGGAAATTCCTTTCAACCTGGCTCTCAATATTGTAGATGTATATTGATCAAATGAATTTCTATATATAGATTGAATTCAAATTTCGTACGTATATAAGTAGTACGTAGTGCATGATAAGATTTATAATGCAATGCACTGCAGAACATTTGTTTTTTGAGTTCTACAAATTTATTCGTTAGAGTCCGATCATGTCCGACCAAAACGTCGATTGGTCCGACATATATATTGTCAGAATTATATATTGAACTCTGTCAAGCACAGACGAAACTTATCAGTTTCTTTGAAAGTTATCACACGTGATACTGTATGTGGAGAAACTGACCAATTCTCTTGTGACTAGACTCTAAAAACACTCTGCATGGTTAAACTGACTTCTTGGCTAAATTAACCTAAAACAACACTATTTGGGTTAACTAAATTTCCTGGTTGCGTTTTTTTCTATACACCCTGTATATAATACAATTGAGTTATTTCTACGCTTATTATTAGCATGACAAAATTACTGGATGCTGATTGGTTGAGAGGAGTACAATTATTTCATAGTGCAGTACAATTAATGATTTTCCCAAAACAAACAAAATGGCGGAAACGTACTTTAAACACAAGCATGAAATGAAATTGCCGTGGAGGAACTAGATGAAAATACGAACAAAAGCACCAAATTTTGCTTTAACAAAAGAACTAAATGAAAATACAAACAAAAGCACCAAATTTTGGTTGAAAGTCTGGCAGGACTGGGCTTTGGCGAGAGAATATGATGCTGACATTGAGAAGTACGTATCCAATTTTGTCATGCTAATAATAAACAAGTAATCATGCGATGTTGCTCGTACAATTAGGGATTAATAGTACTCGTGATGTTTGGAAATTTGCCAAATTGGACTCGCCCCGGCGGCTCGTCCAATTTTGGCAAAATTTCCAAACATCACTCGTACTATTAATCCCTAATTGTACTCGCCATCGCATGATTACCTACTAAGCAGAAAAATAAATTAACCAGCAGAGTGTCATTATAGAGTGTATAGTGATTGTATAGTCATGTCAGCAGTTTGGACGAGGTAATATAAGCTTGTCAGTCGGCCGGACTTGCTTGTGTATCCGACGATATATATATACGAAAACTTGGTCATCTAATGAACTGTAGTGAACTCTGATGAGCTCTAATGAGATCTAATCAGATCTATTAATGAACGAGAGTGAAAACTATCAAAGAGAGATGCAATTGATACTGTACGGGGCTAAACAATCCACGAGAATGGTTGTGACTTCAGTAGTTTATAATCGTCGATCGACTATTACGATTAGCCTTTCAATTCTCACGATTCACGAAGCCCAAAATCCGCCATTCAGTTGGGGGTACGTTTGCCCTCGTGAAAGATTCTAACTATAAATTTACCATTATACAGTACAAACAATTGTGTCAATACTAAAAATTTGTATTTCGTGGTGCGGAGACTCTCAAACGTGGGAGAGGCAGTACCCCAAAAATGGCGGAAAAGGCTAATTCGTCTGAAATATACTGATTTGTTTGAAATCTTATATATTCGAAGTAACTATAGAATAAACTTCAGGCAGTTTGTTTTCTTAACTTTCTCTTGCAAAGCTTTATTTATTCTCAACGTGTTTGCAGTAATTCGACCTAGCATCTTTATGTTATTCACATATTTTACAATTGTGTGTGCAATTAGTAAACAAAAAACAGAAAATTGTGTACATTTCCGAAAGACTGGCTGCTTGAACAGAAATTATTAGGAAAGCTGCTGAGGAAGTGTACGTTTTATTGCAACAGTGATAAGTACTAGGTCGCGCGATTTTGGAGACTGGTTTCGAATTGAAAATGAAAAATACTGAATATGTAAATAGTCTTTGGCGAATGAGCGAGTTTCACGCAAGTAAATTATATAGGCGTGACGCGGCCCAATATCCGGAAACTTAACTTGTTGGACACTTAAGGTGTCGAATGAGAAGCACCATTATACTTCTAAGTCTTTTGTGAATCAATGCGGTCGTGAGTCGTCGCGCATCATAACAGCATTACTATCGCTTTCATAACGTTATTCAACATGTTTCGTCTATTGAATTTCATTCTGGTTTTTATGTGGATGGATGCCATTTCCAGCGTACGAGGTAAGCAATTTAAACTTTTGTTTGGATTTCAACGACTTTCATATGCGTTGTTTTTCTTACATCATCGCCGTTGTATACTTGACCACGCAATTGTGAGTATTTCAATGTTGTGATCAAATTACGATTTTATGTCCTGGATTTTTACCTCAGTTTTGCCACTGTAGCGGGTATATATCTTAGTCGGGACAATAGACTGGGTTTAGTGTTTAAAATCAGCACGTTTAAACATTACACAAGCAAACGGCTGTGATATGAACATGTATGTTTTTCCTCGGTGTTGTTATTTTAGACTGCATTAATGATATACATCAACAAAGACTGTGTACAAAATCTCAGGAAGTCAAGGTGTTTATATTCCAATACATTATTCCTCGCCTAGTGGAAATGCGCTTTTTCGCGCATTTTCGCCTCGCGCAAACGTGAAAATTTACTAAATTAACCAGGCTAATTAATGCGACGTCGTATGGAATTTTCATCGACGGTTCGGCGCTTGTGAAAACGTCAAAAAAACAATGCTAATCCAGTTTGCTACATGATTCCAGCCAATTCCCCGCACAGTGTGAGCTAAGATGCTTTAACAAGCTTATGCGTTTGAGATAAATGAATAATGAGGACCCCTATGGAAGTTCGCTGCCGGCTTTATATATTTATTGATTTGATTTTGGGGATTTAGAACGCCCGTAGTTTATAGTATAATGTATATAATCGGAAAATACACGAGAAAAAATGTTAAATTTCATTGCGTATAAAAAGGAAAGGAGTCCGATGGGGAATCGGATTACATGGCTAATTTTCGAACTATCTTTTCAATATGAACAATAACATAATTTTTTATATATATATTTGTGTGTTTTTTAACCAATGAATCCCCGTGTAATCTTCCCTTAAATAAACTTTCTTAAGTTGGCTGACAAAAATTCTTAACGAATAACGGCTTAGTTTTCCACTATTCAGTGTTTCACCTCCATGCACTTCAACTACCTTTGGCTGAAAACAGTTCACTGAGCTTATTTTAGTCACCATAGTAATATGCACATTCATTCATGCAATAATCTGTCCTGGCAAGCCCGCATTCCACAGCGTTGTTCAAAGATGTGAAAGTCCAAAAGGGATGGTTTAGCGCTAGTATATAGCCGGGTAACTGGCTCATTCCCGTTTTATTCAGTGCCCAAAACTGCTTTAGTTCATGAATTTGACCGTACTTCGATCAGGGCAAAAATATAATTAGTGATTTTTTTAAAGAACGAGGCAGTTTAAATCGTTTTTTTTTAAATATTCACTCCAATTTTGCTTCGTTTATTCATATCCTTACTCTGAATATTCATATTCCTACCCGAAATATTCAAATTGCTATATCATAAATATTCATATTCAAACTAGTTCCAGACCGATGTTATATTTATATTCACCAAACTTCACTCAATATCATTTTACCAAACAACAGCGTAATCATGCATGTATTATTGTATACTTAGTCACTTGAATTGCAAGTACAGACACAGTACAGGTCTACCAGGCATTGCCGTATTTGTAATCCAATTTTTTGTAATATATAATAATGGTAATTTATATGATTTTTGGGAGAATTATTTTTTTAAAAATATTGTGAATGTCTAAAAATCCTCGTCACTTTCCCAAAAGTAAAAAAAACCTTTCGAGACTGAACCCCGAAATCCTGTCAAAAACGTCCTATGAAAGCGCCAAAAATCCTACCAAATAGTTATAATCTCAAAATATCTTGCAAACTCCCTTCCAAAATCTCTCCAAAAATCTGAAAATCTCTCCAAATCTTGTCAAAAATTTCCTTACAGTATATTTGACTCCAAAATCCTCGCTTTAACAGACTGTAATTCTTCGTGAATATGTTCTTGTGTTAGTAATTACCGAATGGCTGATATCGATAGGACTAATTACGATCTTATTTTTATTGAATAATTATACTCGAGTTGCAAAACGTGGTTCTATACCCCAATATTGATTCAGTTGAAAAAGTGATAATGCACGTACTATACTGAACCAATAATTTATATGAACAGTTCCTAATTTGATTATTTTGTGTGTTTTGGTGTTATGTACTCAGGTGAATATGATGTTTGTGATGTTACTCTGAGGGTGCATCCACACCGGGCAAGCTTAAAAGTTAGCTTGGCCACGGTGGGAATCGAACTCGCGACCTTTGGGATACTAGTCCTAATTTGTCTGTAGTTGAAAAAGAACAACACTGACGCATGTACATAATATTTTTCCCCAAATATCAAGTGGTCTATTTTCATTCGCATTAGTTTAATACATAATTTCAATCTTAATCTGTTATCGAAAATTGAGATTTAATTTAGTTTAATATATTCATATAAGAGCTTATTTTATGTTCATTTAGTTCTAGTCGTTTTACTAACATACCGTACATTTCTTCACTCAAAGAATTCATTGCGTTTATTACAATGTTTAGCATTCATCTACAGTGGGTCTTGAATGACTTTGACATTCACTTATAATTAATAAATCATGTTAAATTAAGATTCTTTATTGATGAATGATCAATCGAAAATTTATTTCAATTTTGAAACTATTTCAATGTTGAAACACTCATTGTTTTATGTTAGCGATTCCCATCTGCAGACAAGCATGAGGGAAACAAAAATACCAAACATTCAAAGAACCACTTGTGCCCCGCAATAATTACTAAAAGTTAATCAATATTATCAAGTTGCACTAGAAATTCCATCCTTTAATCTACTGCCGTATCGTGTTGTTGTAAGTGGATAATTGCATGTATTTTTAGTCAGTTCGATATTTGTTCTCACCAGTACTGTTGGAACTAATTTAACAATTTTAACAAGAAAACAGTTTAATTTGAATGAAAGGTGTCTTTTTGAGTTTTTCCTATTTATATTAATTTTAATTCTTGCACGTTCAATATGAAAACGCACGCACTTGTTCTAATGAGAAAATTCCGCTTTCCTCCATTTTTTTCTGCGGCATGATTTTAAAAACATTGCAACTTCAACCATGAGAATTTTTTTCATGTATATGGCAAAGTAATCATGACATGTTTATTTCCTGTAACTTGTGCTTCATATTTTCAACATCCGGTGATAAATAGATGGTTCGCCGTAGTATTGCCGGCGTCTGCAAAGGAAGGTATACAGTATGAACTTAGTAAGGAAACAAGACAGTAGTTAATTTAGTGCGGAAACATCTAGATGGCTTGTTTTCCTCTCTTGCGCTTTCATGCTGGTTTGATGAACTTATTTTCCACTTCTAATTGACCTTCGGGTGTTGGTATAGCACAGTGGTAATAACTACGTACGACTACCCCTCACCCTGCGTCAGTGATGAACATTTTCTGATTATTTTTGTCATCGCAGTCTCATGCGGAAAGACTGTTCCCACGCAGTTTGACTCTACCAAGTACCAAACATGCTCTCCAGGTTTTGGCCAGGTACTCTGATTTCTCCCTAAAGAATAAGCCTAAAACTGCGTGATCTTCGGAGAACAATTATAACTCGGATAAGCTGTCATACATTTGGTACGTACGCGCAATTTTCCAAACTTTCTACCCCTTTCCTTCCTTTTAAATTAGTAAAAAAGTAGAATGTTAATTATGCCGTCCGTGAATTCTGGCCACGCTTTTTTCCCATCAATAACACTGCATTGGTCTAGTTCTTTCGAGCTGACAAGAATAATTAGAACCTAAAGAAGTCATTCATGTCAGGATCGTGAAAAAATGGTAGAGAACTAACTGGGTTGACTTAATAGGTAATTGTAGCAAGAGGTTATTGTATTTAGATATGCAATCCGGTAGATATATGTTTCCAGAAAATCACAGATTTATAAGGGCATTTAAAGAAGGGGAACAATCTCCACTGCGCATGTACCTGGCGTTTGTTTACAGGGGACTCCACCGGAAATGAACTTCTCTTTAAACAATAAATTGAGCTACGATGTCGTAAATCGCAAAATGTGACAATAAATAGGTCGTTTGTAAATTGTCGGGATCGCTGGTTGCAAAAGTCTGTGAAAATATTCACTTGGTACTTGGTAGTAGTATTGGTCTGGTTTAAGTTATATCCATCTTGCATTTTAGTTGATTCTCGGTGTGAGTATTTTTTATATGGAGTTATTATTGGATCTCATCGAACTGTGGCATTGCAGGAAATGCTCCTGGATAGGTCCAACAAATGTGTAAAATTTAGACTCGAAATTTCCACACGAAACTAAACGTTTCTACATTGTTAGATGGATAATTTTCAAAGTCCCAACTAACTCAAAAATGATTTTGGTATGTGTCATTCTAAGAAGAAATGTAATATATTATTTTTATGGTAAAAACCTCGTTTTGATCATAGAGATTATAAATAACACTAGAAGGGGCATCGCAATCTTCACATCAGGGAAAAAAA